TTGATCAATGAAGTTAATAGTAGTTTTTCATTTTTTAAAAAGCTGTTCAACTTGTAACATTATTTAACCTGCAAATATGGAGTAAGGCTAAGATGCCAACAGCCCATTGTTCAGTCCCATTATTTTCAGGATTAGAAATCTGTACTCTTTGTCAGGAATGGATGCCTTCACCTAGCAGGAATTTAGATTTCTTCTTGTTTGGCAGGGCCTACTACAGAAACAGGGGAACACTTTTAAAATGTATTAGGAGTATATTAGAAACAGATGGGCATTCAACACCTACATAAAATGTTCTATGGGATAAAATGTGAATAACTGGGTTTGATTTAACAAAGGATCAAACTTAAAATATCAGGATTCATGAAAAACCAAACTTACTTTGCCATTTAAGAGGAATACAAATCAGATAATTAGAATCAAGAGTAAAGAGTTTGGGCTTCCCTGGTGGCGCAGTGGTTGAGAGTCCTCCTGCTGATGCAAGGGACACGGGTTCGTGCCCCTGTCCGGGAAGATCCCACATGCCGTGGAGCGGCTGGGCCCGTGAGCCATGGCCACTGAGCCTGCGCGTCCGGAGCCTGTGCTCTACAACGGGAGAGGCCACGACAGTGAGAGGCCGACGTACCTCAAAAAAAAAAAAAAAAAAAAAAAAAAAAGAGTAAAGAGTTTGAGTTATACTGGTTTTTTTCTCCTTATATACTTAGTGATATAAGTAATTGTTACTTGGCTTCTGCCTCATGAGTTTTGTTTTCTATATCCATATATTCCTTTCCCTGTCAGGGAGATATGTGTGGATTTGTGTTTACACCACTGTCTAGCACCTTTTTGAAGATTTTTAATGTTTTATGTGATATATTTCATCTTTAGAATTTTGGGTGGATCTAGATTTAGAAAAGTGTTTTGGTTGGAGTGATGAGGCTCTGGATGTCAGCAGGCTTTAGGGTTGGAAAAGTTGAAGCTTATGGGGAGAGCAAATAAACACAGTCATCAAAGCTGGGAATTAAGATTTGTTTATTCACCTGCAAACTTGAATTAAATCTCATAGAAATAGGCAGAGCCATTTGACTTATTAAGATCCTGACAAAATAAATTACTCTAGTCATGCTTAAAGGTCTATTTTTGCCTGGCTTTAGATACAGAGATTGGTGTAGTCACCATATAACGGATGAGGAAGTTCTTGTTGAATTAAGCTGTTGACGTACAACATAGAGGTGACTAGGATAGTTGACATTGGACAACGGTTAATTAAACCAAAAAGTCCATTTGAGGTTTGGGGCACAAAGCTTCAAATTGCCAAAATTACATGTGTTCTTGTCCTTCAGTATTGAGGAGCACGGTTGAAGAAGATTGGGGGAAGGGAAGAGAGAGCACTTAGGTTGGGTGTGGCTCACATCATTTTTGTTTTAAGAGAATTCCTCCTGTGTAGGGTTATAAAGATATCTAAGATATGGACTCAGGTAAGTATTCCCTATTTCATTTTCATTGTCAGTTAAGGTTTAAGTAAATAAAGCAATGCTTTATTGATTTTAAGAATACCTTTTTAAAAATGTAGAGTACAATTTGTTGACTCTGAAATCTTTGTGGTCAGGATGAAAGTTGGCTTCTGATACATAAAACAAAAAAAAAGCCTTTAATTTATGATGATTCTCTTAGCTCTGTAATTCTCTTTTCTCCATACTTCTTACTACAGAGTGTGATTTATAGTGATAAAGAGCTCTTGGTTTAACTTTTGAACTGAAAGTAAGTATAGCTTCAGTTTTACTTTGTGATGACTGTGGTACAGAGAACCTTCTCCTTAAACCATTTTGCTATGTATGTAAATCTTCCAAATTCTCCTTTTACTTATGAAACTAAGTTTGGGATTTGGACAACCTTGATAGTACCTTTTCACATTTGTAGTTAAGTTGCAGAGCAGAAGGCAGCCAGTGAACTATTCTTAGACGTGCTGCAGAGGACCCTGCAGTGTGGGGCTGCCTTTGATGCAGCAACTCCTGCCCTTGCCTTAGTCTCCAGGTTGCTCCTACATAAGGACTTCTTCTTTCACAAGAGAGTCATAAATTGCTTCCCCAAATATCATGCCAGAGGGTCTTTGTGCTTAAGGTGGGTTATGTTCTTAGGCAGCCCTGAAAATTAAAATGAGTTGGGTTCTCCCCAGTCACCACTTCCTCTGCCAAAGCCATTTCATCCATCATACAGCTGCTGAGTCTTCCTAGTTCTGTCCTTTTCATCCTGTGTTCTGCACCCTACCCACCCCACTCTCAGTTTTTACCCCTTCCTTACACAAAAGTTTGTCTGTATCCCAGTTTTTGAAACTTACATACTCACTCCTTACAACCTGCTCAGGACACTAATAACAAAATGGGAGAATAAAACCTCTTCAGAAGGCAGCTGGGGAAATTGTAAATAGTCTAACCTTATTTCCAGTTGGCTATGTGAAAATGCTTTATAAGTCATAATTATTTCATGAGAGTAAGGGGTAACAGAAATCCTTTGATGAAAATAAAAGCAGAAGAGCTGAGCCAACAATAGAACGTAGAGAGAGGTACGTGGGGAGTTGGGGCACTATAACTGTCTAAGTGAGAAGTAATAAGGACCTGACTTATGAGAAGATTAGTGGAAATTACAAGAGTGAGGGCTGGAATTAAGTCTTTAGAAGGAGACATTCTCATTAATCTAGAAGAGGAAGAAAACTTTCAGTAATGACCCGGCTACAGGAGTTGGGAGGACAAGAGACTGAGAATGAGGTCTTGAATTGAGGATCTGAAAACCAGTTGTGGTCTTCATAAAAGCAGTGTTGGGGATAATTACATGGGTGGGGATGGTAGGTTGAGGCTGCAGATAAAATGGACACTTCCAAGAAATATGAGTGATATTGGTCTGATTCATTGATATGAGAAGATGCTCACAACTTGATTGAAATTGAGCAAGTTATCATACTTCATGTAAAGTCTGATCACAGTTATGAAAAATACCAATTACATATTATAAATACTGTATATGCGTACATATATAAAGGGGTATCTGGAAAGTTTGCCACAATTTTATTAAGAATTCTATCTGAGGAGGTGATTTTTGATCTGAATTGATTCTGTTTTGCTCCACAATTGCAGGTTTAAGAAAATAAGGTGGTAAATAAGAAATTAGTTGGGAAGCATAGATAGCTTTGCAAGCAAGAGAAAGTCTCTAACACTATGTAAATAAAAGCAGTTTTGAACAGTTGATAGAACAAAGTCCTGGAATAAGTGGGAAGAAGTAGATCTTAATGCCCAATTCAGAGGGTCATCTTGACCATGATTTCTGGTCCTGAGTGTCTTGGTTCTTCTTTGGCCCCTTCTCTGAAAGGTTAGACTAAGCCCTTGTTTGGGAATCTCTCTGGAAGAGAGGCTGCAAGAACAAGTCAGGGAGCCCAGAAGTGGGGAGAGCATGTTGTGGAACTGAAACCTATGTAGGTCTGCGGCAAGTAGTTGTAAATATACTGGATGTTAAATCATTATAAATAAGGACTGGTGTGGTATACAGTGTGCTTTGTTGCATAGCTGCTAATCTGAATACTGTCGGCTTGGTATTAATTTTATATGCAATAAAGATTATATGTAGGGCAAATAGGATGTAGTCTCAAAGCAGAAAGTTTCAATAATTGATGAATTTTCTGTTCCTTGTCTTATTTCTTTTGTGGGTTAACTCAATAAAATGAAGTCAGTGTGGCCTTAAGCTTATGACCTTACATGAACTTCTTATACTTTGGAAATTATACTAGGATTTCAGATTGTATCATTTCTGAATTTTATACCAGGGCTAGAAACGGAATTTGTTTTCTTTTCAATTACCATTTTTGTCACTAGCTGTAGTGAACTTCATAAGGTTCATATATTTCAGATACTGTTTTTTCTTACATGCTTCCTACCTTTTTAATATTTATATCTTGTTTTGTGCCACAGTTCTTTAAGCCTGTTTTCTAGTTAAGTCCCTCTCCCAGTCTACCATTCAACTTGCCTTAGAATGTTTTTCAGTTTTAGAATTTTAATTTTTCTAATTTGCCCATTTTATGATACTGCTTCTTCCCGTGTGATTTCTAGTCATTTCATCTCTTCAAATACTCTAAAGATACTCATTTTAAAGTCATTTTCAGATGGTTCTGTTATTTCTGATTCTTTAGGAATGAAATCTCTTACTCAGACTGACTCTTCCTCACTGAGGTTTGCTTGCACATGTGATTTGTTCATTTTGATGTTAAGGTGGTTTTCCATGAAAGTCCCAGGTTGTAGTCCCAGTCTCAGGATTGTAGAAAATTTCTGTAGGGTTGTTTCATACTTTTTTCTTTGTGGATTTTGCTGGATCTGGGCAAGTTTTTTATGTTAACCTCTTGACTTAGGGACCCCATACTACATTGATGATTTAAACTTGGATACCACACTTGGAAGTCTCATAGATTTGGGGTAGCTTTCTCTTATGGGTTATATTTTTCTCTCCTGTGCTCACGTCCTCTATGCCTCAATCCAGGGTTGGAAACCTCTTCTCTGGCCAGCTGGAGTGGGGGCTTCTAGTGCTTGTTCCATGGACACACAAGCCTTTACGACTCCAGTCTCCATAGAGACAAGCATCAGCTCTTTACATGCGTATTTCTTTTCTTTTTTATATTGAAGTATAGTTGATTTATGATAGTGTGTGAGTTTCAAGTTTATAGCAACGTGATTCTACATGCATATTTCTTGGTCTGGACTCAGGACCCTGCCCTGAGGTCTGCCTCTGTCTGCTCTAGCATCTCCATAAGCCGTTCAGTTTGAGCTTCCAGCCCCAACTCGGTCTCTGGGTTTCCTCTTTGTTTCTAAGTTTGGTTGTGTATTAACCGTTGTTTTTTGGAGGGTGGCAGAGGTTATTTTGTTTAGCATTTCTATGTGATTAAAGTAAAAGGACAAGAGACACTTGTCTTTTCAGCATGTTGCATTGACCAGAAGTCTGATCATATTCATATTTAAATGTATTTTGTCTTTTCTCTTTTACAGCTAGTTATGTATCAAATCCCATTTGCAAGGGATGCTTGTCTTGTTCAAAGGACAATGGGTGCAGCCGATGTCAACAGAAGTTATTCTTCTTTCTTCGAAGAGAAGGCATGCGCCAGTATGGAGAGTGCCTGCATTCCTGCCCATCCGGGTACTATGGACACCGAGCCCCAGATATGAACAGATGTGCAAGTGAGCAGTCAACTTTTGTCCACCCTATTTTATTGTTTATGCAACTTAGGGGGAGTTAAGTTGAAAATTTTGATTAAGAAAGAGTACAATTTTAATATGCTACAGAAATAGTTTAAACTTAAAAAAAAATAAGTGAGGTGGTATAAGAACACTTTTACTTTATCTCTTGTATAGAAGTATATTGTATACACTCACTTTTTTTTAAAGATTACCTAAGTATTTTTTCATAGCATGTATCTCAAACACAAGCATGGTAGGCAGATCTTTGTAAGGCATACTCAGCACTTATCAAAAAATAAAGGGATTTAAATACCTTTATATTGCGAACATCCTCTTGAGCTTACCACAGTGTCTGTAGCTTCTTTTTCTCTTATACTTGAGTTTGTAATACTTGAATTAGTCTAATCTGTAATTTAATACATGAATTTAAAACACCACTGCTGATAAAAGGTATAACTAAAATATTTAGTTTACTTCAAAGTATTCTAAGTTTAGCAACCACAAAAAGGTTATTAGGGAATGGCATTCTATACATAGGAACGCAAGTACAGTTTTTTACCTTTTAGTCCAAAAAGTCACTTCTCATTATAGAATTATTCTTAACTGCTGGGTAAATGGTAAAAATTGGAGTTTAAAAAAATGAGTAAGATACCAAAGGAATATCCCCCTTTTTAAGGAGCTCAAATTTTAGGGGCTAGAAGGAGAAAAAAGGGGAACATGGAGTGAAATGACAGATGGGTAAGATGTTTAATCATAATTCAGTACACTAAGTACTAGATCAGCAGGCAACTGGTATGTTATGGGAGTGATTTAATTATCTCCAATTAACACACTGTGTGCATGACTGTTAAATCAGCTGAGGTCTTTAGGTAAGAAGAGAGTTTGAATTTTATCATCCAAGGGCAATGTTATTTTGAAAGAAGGCAGAACTACTAGAGGAAGGTTATATAGAATCTGGGAAGAAGAAGCGACACGTTTGTAAAAATAATGTGTTTGGGAAACAAGAAGTCTCCTTTGGGGATGCTGTTGGCATCTTGGCAAGGCAACTTGGCCTGCATTGCTGGACATTTAACATTCTTAGTCCCTGCTCGGTAAATGTTCTTCATTCCCCTAAATCACTGTGACAATAAAAAATGTCCCTAAAAATTTCCAGACACCTCCCAGGGGAGCAGTACCATCCCTGGAGAACCATTGAGTAGTAGCTGCTTAGTGTGAGGTGTGGTTGGAATTGAAGATGAAAAGGGAGGCTTGAGTGCAAATGATAAAAGTCTTGAGTGCAATGTTAAGAAGTCTGGATGTTATCTGAGGGTTCTGAGCAGACAGTGAGTTAAAGCAATTGCTTTATTTAAGATAATTCTTGCAGAAGTGCAGGAAATGAATTGGAGAAGGCTATTGTAACAATTGCAGATGAGAAATTGTGTTCTGATGAAAGGTTTTTGGGTAATGAATTCCAGAGACTTTTAGAATAGAATCAATGAGACTTAGTAACTAATTTCACAGAATAAAGAGAGAATCAAATTTGATACTAAGGTTTCTAGCTAAGGTGACTAGGTGAACAGTTTTGCCATTAGCAAGATAGAAACATGGATTTAGAGGAGATTTGTATGGACTTCCATTTTATGGAATGGTTGGGATTAATAACTAGAGGGGTACGGCTCCCCCAGAGTATCAATAGATTGGCCATTTTTTTCAAATATGTACCTTATCCTTAAGGTGTATGATTTGGGCTAGCTAGTAATGTCTATCCTCATAGTTTTTGAACCTTCATAGGAGGATGTGTCCATCTTGAAATGGATTCCTGTTCAGATTGCTTTAGACCACCTATGGGGGGGGGTGGATTTGAGTCCATGAATATTCTGTGTGTTTTTTATTCCAGACTATCAGTGCACAAGGAAGATAAGAGTGTAGATAGCTCCAGGCATTTATTCCAAGTTCTATGCCTAGCACTCTACACGCTGTGTATGGACAATAGGGTGACCATATAATTTATTACTCTACCTGGGACATTGGGGATTGAAAGTGGCTGCTGTTAATAACTATGCAGGGACATTGGGTGTAAAGAAGGGCTGTCCTGGGCAAACTGGAATGGGTGGTCATTCAGCAATACCTCATAGTCTTATCAACAGGGTCTTCCTTAGAGAGATACCCCAAGGCAGGGCTTAACACAAACATTTTGGTTAAGTTGATCCCTTTTCTCAGAAATGGAGAGGAGAGCAGTGACTGTAAATCAGCCTTGGAAAGAGAATCTACACGTGAAAATGGGTTTGCTATGGTTATGCTTATCGTAAGTGAATGCAATCGATGTTGCAGTTTACTGACCTAGAAATCATTACTTATCTGGTACAAGCGGGAAGTGCTTATTAACAAGGCTCCTGTGAAGCAAAGTGAAAGTGGAAAATTATTTCTTAATTCTCAGTATATGACTTCAGATGATTATGGTTCATTCTTAGTAATATTGGCTCTTTTTCATAGATGCTTGAAATATATTGCATTGTTATTTGTATTCCATACAGAGGATGAGACAGATTTAAATTGCAAAAGCTGTCACAAACTTAGAATTTGAAATCATATTGACTTTTTGTTTTAGAAGATTAATGCTAGACAGTAGAGAAGATTATACTTCAAGCAACAGTAGCTTTAAAAAATCCTCTAAGTGAAACTTGCTCATCTATTTCCTAATCAGTAAAGTAAGATTTCATTGTAAAGAAAAACCTTTCTTCCAAAGAAAGCCTTGCTCTATAAAATATTGGCTGAGGCTGGCTTCTTGGTCCATACAGTGTGGATCTTATAAAATTCAAACATGCTTATTAAAAACCAATTCAATAATCATTGAAAAAACATACTACAACACTGAGTTGCCATTGTCTCTGATACTGTTGGGTGAGATTTCTCTCATATTTTCTTTCTCATTCATTGATAAACTCATTTACATGAAAAAGCTTAATTTTAAAAATTGCTATACATATTCCTTGCAGAAAGCTTGGAAAGTACATAGAACTTTAAAAAAATAAAAAGCAGAAACAAAAATAAATACTACTCAGAGATAACAAAAGTCAACATTTTGTCTTCTATTTTTTTTTATAATCACACCTGTATATATATACAATAATATTTATTGCTCAGACTAACATTTAAATTTAGCTAGGAATTATAATTTTCTCTAGATAATTTTAAAATTTTTATTGGGGTAGAGTTGATTTACAGTGTTGTGTTACTTTCAGGTGTACAGCAAAGTGATTCAGTTATACATACATATCTATTTCTTCAGATTCTTTTCCCTTATAGGTTATTACAAAATACTGGGTATAGTTCCCTGTGCTATACAGTAGGTCCTTATTGGTTATCTACTTTATATATTAGCATGTATATGTTCATCCCAAACTCATAATTTATTCCTTCCCACCCTTTTCCCTTTGGTAACCATAAGTTTGTTTTCTAGGTCTGTGGGTCTATTTCTGTTTTGTATATAATTTCATTTGTATCTTTTTTTTTTTTTTTAACATTCCACACATAAGTGATATCATATGATATTTGTCTGGCTTCACTCAGTACGACCATCTCTAGGTCCATCCATGCAAATGGCATTATTTTGTTCTTTTTTATGGCTGAGTAATATTCTGGCTTCTATTCTTGACATTTTGTTTCTGTGCATATTTATGTCTTTCTTTCCTTACAAATGAGTCATCATTCTGTTTTGTAACTTGTTTTAATTTAATGAATTATGAACATTTTTTCATGTCATTAATTATGACTGCGTGTTTTCTACTGAATGGATATACCATAATAATCTAGCTAATTATCTGTTGAAAATTTGCTTTTAGTTTTCACCACTGTAAGCAGTTATATGAAGAATTTCCTTGTATATAGATTCTTTTGCTTATACACACATGTATAGTTTTACACGTTTTTTCTGATTTATTTTCATAAGATAAGCTTTTAAACATAGCATATTTTTCCAGCTTTACTGAGATATAATTGAGATACAAGCATAAAATATATTTTAAAGACTTTTGATATATATTGCCAAATGGCCTTCTGGGAAAGTTGTACTCATTCATGTCTTTACTAATAGCAGACATTTTCCCTTGCATCTCACCAACACTGGGTATTAGTGACAAAAAGGATAAAATGCATCTTTTTTTGTTTTAATATGCTTTTCTTTGATACAAGTGAAGGTAAACATTTATTTTTCTCATGAATATTGGCATTGCAGAATATTTACCAGAATCCTTGGCCTTCTTTTTTCCTCTAATTGCACAACTGTTTTCTTAGTAACATAAATAAAAACCTTCAAGTGAAGGATAACACAGAATATGCTCACAGATCATAAACGGAGCGTTCAATGAATTATCACAAAGTGGACGCACGTATGTTACCATCACTCAAGAAGAAATGTTAACAGTACCCCAAGAACACTCATTATATCCTTCCCAATCACTCCCATTTCTCCTTCAACAAAACTGCTATCCTGACTTGTAACCAAAACCATATAAAAGATTATTCGTGATGACACTAAGCGTACTAGCTACAAATTGGAAACAACTCAAATGTCCAAACGATAGAGTATTTTAAAAAGTATATATAGAAGTAGAGATGAACTACTGCAACATGAAGCATCATAAATAAATCTCACAATATAACATTGGGTGAAAGAGGCTATAAAATAATATTTGCATACTTTTCAAAAATAGGTAAAATTAATCTATGGTGCTAGATGGCAGGATTGTGGTTTTTACTGATGTGCATTTATTGAACACCTACTATGTGCTGACTTTGGTACTAGATACCTGGAGATACAATAATGAGTAATAACTAGTTTCTGTCCTTGAGTTGCTTATGGCATAGTGCAGTGACATTCTACCAGGGGTGATTTTGCCGATTAGGGAACACTTTAGTAGTGTTTGGAGACATTTTGGTTAATACAAGTGGAGGTGTGCTACTGGTACCTGGTAGACAAAGGCCATGGGTACCACTCAACGTTCTACAGTGCAGAGGACAGC